AAGGTCACACCAGTTACATGTAGCAACTCACTTTAGTAAAGTGTAACTGTCGGAAACGTCCTACACGTGACGCTATTGAATTTTTTTTCTGAAAACGGAAAGACGACAATTCAAATAAAAGGTGTGAATCGTACAGGTTAACGAACTTCCCGTTGCACATCAGCGCAGTGATACTTGTGCAGAATCCCGAAATTAATTTAGTTCATTTTAAGCTATTCCAGATATCAAATGTACTTTTTATCATTTACTGTTCAAATTCCGTTTCCACCATTTCATAACTTTTTTTTCCGTTTCATTTTCTTTGTTCGCGCCGTTTCGCGTTTTTCCTGAGTATATCTCTGCTGATGATTTGATAACACCTTCTTGCATTCAGAGAAAGACAGGTCATGTGAACTTCGAATCCCCCAAACTTTTGGGCTGGTTGCGCCACTGTAGAGAATAGAATATTAGCAAAGTGAAAGCAGGATTGGAAAAGGAGAGAGAGAATATGAGAGCTAGAGAGTGAGAGCGTAAGGTCAATGAGGAAGGATAGGGGAGGGGGAAGGGGATTCTAACGGTGTTAGCATGTCTTCCGTGTTTTGTTCGCTCCAGGCTGCGAGACGACGGTGTACGCTGAATAAGGGGGAATTCAGCTCGGAATATTCGTTTGTGTCCTTGGTGCTTCTTATCAAAAGCAACAAAGTAGTTTCGTATGTCCTAAGGGGAAATTTTCCTTATTCTAGTAGGTGAGCGCTAATTCTGAGGCATGAATGGAGAGCGGTGTGAGGCCACAGACTCGGTATATATAATCGGTGGGAAAGTGTCTAGGTATGCGGTATGCATACTTGATGGTGGCGCGTTCCATGCGGTCAAGTTTGTCGAGGATCGCGTCTGGGATGCTGGCCCAGGCCGCGAATGCGTATGTGAGGACGGGACGGATGTAGGCGATGTAGAGACGCATGATTGTGCGGGGTGCACTGCCGTTGATACGTGAGAGACGCTTCAGGCTATTTATTTTGGGAATTGTCTTTTGGCGGATCATCTCGACGTGGGGGGACCAACGGAGGCTTTTTCGAAACGTGACGTCGAAGAACTTGCAGGTGGGAGCAGAGGGGATGGGTTCTCCGTTCACCCACAGCCTGAAGTTGTATGGATCGGTGGGCGATCCTCTAGCTACATGTAGGTACGAGGATTTAGAGGGATTCGTAGAGATCCTCCAATCCTTGCAGTAAGCTGAGAGGGCATCCAGGGCTAATTGTGCGTCCTCTTCGAGTCATTCTTCGCACCGTGGCGTGATTCAAATGGCTGTGTCGTCTGCATATTGGCTAAGGTATGCAGGCGCGGAGATGCGTTTGGGGAGGTCGTTTATGTACGCGAGGAAGAGGAGCAGCGCAAGGACGGAGCCTTGAGGAACGAGGATTTTAATCCTCCTCCCCTGCTTAATATGCCTCGGACTCAGGACAATGGATGAAGGTCATTGAAAGGGAGTGGAGCATACCTACATATATACGAACGCATTGGAGGACATAGAGCGTCATTGCGCCCAGTTCTTCTTCAGCACCCTGTGTGACAGTACAACCGGGTTCTTAACCGACTTCACTTCTCAACGTGCGTTTGTTTTTTTCATAGAAGCTGCTGCATTTTCCATTGCTTCATGCATGATTTGTTTTGTTATTGCTACTTTTTTAAAATTTTACTTTATAGTCAAAAGGAGATAAATTCCGAAGTAAAAGGAAAGGGATGGGAACAGGGTAATAAGAGAAGAAAGAGCATATTTGAAGAGGTTTAAAACAATCATACACGGTGTTAAAAAAAAAGTATACCAAATCATTTTCGTTAATAATGACGGCAAATTTCATCAGATCCATGCACATTTCTTAAATAATGCAAGTGAAGAAGCTAATTACCTAATTTTAGGAAAGTTGAGGAACTGCATCACGTTCTCCGCTATTTCAAACTTAATAAGTAATAACGTGTGCCCTACAAGCCTACAAGTTGATGCGTTTGCCTCAGCCAATGATACAAAGGAAAATTTGTGCGTACTTTATCAAAGAGGCAGATGTGGTCTTCTCCATTCGTCTCCGATTTGATAACGAAATAGTTGACCATTTCGAAGGAAATTCATACCTGGTACCGGCCACACATTTTGCTATCACATTAGGCAACAGGAGGAAAACACGTCTTCTTGATTTTTTAGCTGTTTATTAGGGTACACACGGATTTCTGTCAATATCTATGGCTGAAGCGAACGCGCCAGCGGGCTAATACGATACAGTTTTTCAACTATCAGGTTTGAACTGGCAGAGAACGTGATACCATGCTTCAATCTTCTTAAAATAAGGGATGATCTTTTCTACTCTCTTCACATGAAGTATTTAAAAAATGGCGGCAATCTAATGAAAAGTACTGCCATTATTAACGAAAATAATTTGGCAGTTATTTTTTAGAACCATGTAGTTCTGGGAAAGGGTTTCACACTTCGCAGTTTATGGATTACATATCGATATACCTCTGAAACGTACTTATAGTACGTTTCGGGGAAGGTCCATCCCCTCATGGCCTGTGGCGTATACACAAACGAAAATCCTAATTTCCTCATTTCGGCTTCAGCACAAAGAAGTGACGGATTGAATACTCATATGCCATCGTTGTTCTAAAACTCTTTTACGGATAATTTTACCCTGTACAAGTAAACGGTTCTCATCGGGAATATGTGCTTGTATATGGCCTGGACTCCATGGATCTGTCTCGAATAGGGGGCCAAAAAATGAAGAAATATCCGCGTTCATTGATTCATATAATGAGACTAGGCGAGACTCATGTTGAGGTACTAAACACTCCTGTTTAAATTCGAACGATTCCAGGGAAAGAGGGAAGGATACTTTGGCGTATTTTGGGAAAAGCGAGACCCACACCACCATCTAGTGGCATAAAGAAGAACCTCAACATTTCCCATAAACTTCGAAGTGCATATATATTGCACATTGGATTGTCACAGTCATTTTTGGGGTATGCATATCTTATGGTCAAAATTATAAGTACGGTATTCATCAGGCCTTCAAAGCATTTTCAAAAGTATTTACTAACATTCAGTCGGATTGCACTTGTGCGTGAAACATCCATGTCTGCCAGGTGTGGGCCAAGGGTGCAAACGTTTCCTGTGCCAAACATGGTCAAAAACCTAAAAGCCACAGAAACGCCGCAGCTGCCGCACATACGCCGACCTATAGTCACACGTGCCCCGCTGATTGGGTGCCTACTTGCCTAACCGTAGTCGCCAAGGACGCATGGCATGCATGGCATGCGTCCTTCGTGAAACCGCAAGTCTGGAAATGGAGTCCCTGCCCCGACGACAAGATCTACCGGCACTCTCTCTGAAAATGCGTCTCAGAGGCCGACCCCACCCTCGACCCCTCGAACGAGATCTTGACCTTTGATCGCCTCTCTGACCGCCAATCCAGTAGGAGGCATTCAAATCATTGGCTAATCCTAAGTAAATGCAACAATTTCGTGATGTTAATATGAATTTGTCCCCTTTTCGGTTTTCATTCGTTAGTAGTTTTCGCGACAGATTGACACTCCCGAATTCTATTTTTACCCCAGCACAAAGCGCCCGAATGGTCAGAGAAGTCCAGAGATTACACCTACAGAAAGATTATCTCCATTACTTCCTCATGGCCACAACAGAACGAGAACCGAGTTAGGAAAAAACTCGGATTCGGGCTCTGATCAGAAATGTTTAATGGAAACGATCGAACCGGAGAAAAGGAATCGATCCAGCACTTTAAGAATCCGCAATTCCAGAATTTGAACTTTTTTGGAGGGTCCCCCAATCCAGTCGTACGCAATCGCCATCGAACAAATGCCGATGACGTCACTCATGTCACGTTCCCTTCCTGCGCTAAATGAGAATCGCGAATTTCTTAGCGATATTCACCCGCATTCTCCCCTCCCAAATGATCGAGTCTGACCCCAGCCCAGTTGAACCCAAAGTCGGAACTCCCCAAAGGCAGCGAAAACCCTATTCATCCACTTATCGTTTTACGTGAAAATGGTCGTCTCACGGGAGATCCAAACATTCTAAAACCGAGTGACTGATGTCGTTGGTTCCTTCCCCTTTAGCATCTTCGTGACGATTTTTTCCGCCCACTCTTTCGAACGGCAGCCCTTCTTGACGATGGTGGCTTTAATTCGAGTCTCATAGCATCGGTGTTCCTTCGCAAGAATCGGTTGTGACACGCCACTGCATACCATCCCCATCATGTTTCCATATCGTCCCGGGACGACCCGGTTAGCGACTGCTAGCACGAGCGAGGAGTTCCCAATAGGACCTTCATCCAGATAAAGCCCGGCGACGAAACGGCCGGGGAGGAATCGACCGTTTTGGGGAAATGCAATTCCAAAGTGTATTCAGTAAAGCAAAAATTTTTATTTTTTTATTTTTATTTTTTTCCAGAATGAGGGTATGTGGATGGTCGCCATTGTGCCGGGAAATTTCTTAAGTAGAAAGTCATTTTTCTTATTCTTCAAATTAGAAAAAGACAGAATCCTTCGATATACAGTACTAATCAATTCTATTTTTCATCCTCTCCTCCAGTCGTCAACTAACGGCTGGTTCCTGTCCTTGCAGTTGACTTATTCATAATAAACAGCGGGGGAGAAGGCGAGAGAGTGAGCGGCTGCTCCAGCGTAGAGAGGGTTGCTATTCGAAATTCTAGAAAGCCACATCTGGCATCTGTGCTTGCCTCCCCTTTCCCACGAAGAAAAGCGTCCCTCGGGATGGAAGCACGACCACCAAACTGGTAGGGGTGAAAGACACGTTACACAATGGCCTTAGAAGAGGAGATCGATGGAAGACCAGGGTCATTGTGTATCTGTGAGCATCACCTGTCAATTCTGCGCTGCTTCCATCGGCATAAGTCCATCGGAAATGGGAAATCAATCATTCCTTTAATCATTCCTTGTGCCGAACAGGCTTTAGCCCTTTCCTTAACTAGTGTGCCGCGAAAACAAGCCAGTGCATGAAGGTCATTCAAGGAGAGTGGAGCTTACAAGTATTTTTTTAGAGACAGAACCTGGCTCAGGGAGTCTCCAGGCAAATCCAGCACGGAGAGAGGGGGCTTGCTTTGGAGAAAGTGAGTCGAGGTACCCATTTCTCGGGTAAAACAACCTCTTGTTTGGCTAGGACGGAAAGTCTAGAGTTTCCTCCCAGGAATACTTGCACTTTCCATCCGAACACCTCTCTCCCACTTTCTCCCAGCAACGCAGTAGGGTGGGTCGACCGCTTCTGGAGAGCGAGGCCGGTACTCAACTTAAGATAAAACTTCCCATTGCCGCGAATATTTATGTGCAGGCGAATTTTGCTCCATTGCTACCAGGGGGATTATTGTTGTTGCACTCCTCAAGTATTATACGTAGACATTGATTCATCAAGCATATCCGAAGAGGAAGTACAGTGGATGTTCTTAAGTGTATGTCCAATGGATTTATTTTTTAAATTTAAATTTGCCACTTGGATAATTTCGGTTCGCACTTAGTCTGCAATTAGTTCATCCAACAATGCTTTAGCGGTTTCGGTTTTCTTATTGTCTCCGATGAGCACCAGGGAATTTCTTGAATATTCACTCCCTTCGCCCTTTGGATTGAACGGCAGCAGGATTGGGGTGAGTGAGGCTGACGTCGTCCCGTCGCCGTTGGGTAAAAGTTCGGCGTCGGTGCGAATTGGAATTTCCTGGCGATTAAGATCATGCTAGAACTTCAGTCAGCATGATGACTGAAGATCTGAACGATGAAGATGGGTGTGGAGCTTTCTGTTCGTCACGCTTTTTCATATGACTTCATCTTCTTTTTCTGTGTGATTTCAGATGCTTCCCTCGTTCTGCTTCATTCTCCTTCCTCTGATCGCCTTCCATGCACCTCCTACGACTCCCGCAAAAATAACCAAGATTCCCGAGTGCGATTCCTCCTCGGCCTTCCACCCCCCATCCAAACAATGTCAGCCGTTGTTAACGGGAGATCTCTGCAAAGATGGCGAACGGCTCGTCTTGAACCGGAGCACCAACGTAGCAGTATGCCGAGAGTGGAATTGTGGCGAGTCCGAACTTCCCCTTTATACCCATCCGAACGAGTGCGTCTCCATACAGTTCCCCGGGAAACACTGCGGCGAAAATCAGTTTCTTGTCGCGGATAAATCCGGCTTCGGGCATTGCGAGTGTTATGCAAACTTCGGAAATTCATACTACTTCGAAGAACGTTTCATCTACTGGCCTCCAGACAAACATTGTTACCGAGTGTTCACTCGAGGCCCCTGCGACCCAGGAAAGATGTTCATCTTCGACAACCGATACGGAACCGCAGTCTGCCAAAGGAATCCCTGCCCCGACGACATGGTATACTGGCTCTCTCGAGGCGAATGCGTCTCAGAAGAAGACCCCACCCTCTGTCCGATCGGGAAGTTGGCCGTAGAACGCCGCAGTGACAACCAATTCGCCTTCTTTTGCCAGACATATGGTCATTCCTTTGCCGGCACCTTCCCCTTTATTTTTCGGCATTGCTCACCCAGCGGAATCAACAAGTGCAAAGGCAGGATCTTTTTGGATCCGTGTCCACCAGGGAAAAAAGTGGACTTGCTTGGCGGATGCCAAAAATCCTTTTTATGAAATTCCTGCTAGGATGCCAGGAATCTAGCAGAATGTATTTGAAAACATGTACATTGCATTACTTCACAATGGAATTTGTCCTGCGAATTTCTTTTTTTTCTCTTCCAGGAGCCACAAGGCTAGGATTTCATTTTTGTCCCTGTCCAGTAATTAATTTTTTTTGTATTTCTCATATCTCTTTTGAATCTCCCCCTCCCACTTTTCCTCCGTGTCGCTATTGCATTGAAGAGCTTTTCTAATTCCAAAAACGCATGTTGATAATTTCATCGATTCATTAGAGATGGCGGAAATCTTCGTCACCGAGCAGATTAATTCATTACTAAAACTCAAACCGTTTTGCCGAATGCGTTACTTCTTTTAATGTGGAATTTTTCGCACTTCCTCGCCCATACATCCTTGGGCGTTATTGCATCGCAGTCAATGGATGAAATTGATGGACTTGAACTCCGGCAGTTTTTAAGAGGGAGATTCTGATCGAAAATACAGCAAATCGCGCAAGATTCCGAGCCTAACATTGCCAAAAGAAGAAATGACAAAAAACCTCATTTTCTTATTCGGCAGAGTGTCTTGGAAACCAAATAGGAATGTCTTTCCACAACTGGCTCATCTCACATGAATTCAAAAAGTTCATGAACTGGTAACAATTGTTTGATTCTCGCCGAAGGCGAAAGTCATGTCAATGGAATGACAGAAATGACAGAAATCCCAACTTTAGCCGGCGATTACTCAGCTTTCCATGGAGGTTCACACGTTTTTGTTGAAATAATCTCGTTTCATTGGTCTTGAGTATCTCTAGGGTGAGAATAAAAAATACGAATTTTCGAGCTTTGGCTACTGTCGGGTGGAAACCGAAGGTCAGCAGACTGGCCGCCAGCTTAAAATGCAAGGCCGTTTCTTAACCGCGGCGCATATCAAGACCAATCAAAGAACGAGGGGGAGGATGGAGAAGCGCTGGATGGAGAAGGTCGGAATCCCAATTTCGAGGTTTGCACTGTGTTTAGAACTGTGTTCATCGCCATCGCAGCATGGAATTTGTTGGAATTTGTCCGGAAATATTCGGGTTTCTTGGAATTAGGATATTCTAATTCCACGAGTGAATCCGAAAACCATGAATTCATCCTTTCTCTTTTTTTTTTTTTTTTTTTTTTACTGAAGAATGGGGATTGAGGAACGTCGGACTTTGCACCAGGAAATCTCCTCAGTGGAAAATCGTATTAATCGCATACCTGAAAAGGGTGAAAAAATATATTGTTTTCTGGGAATGATAAATTCCCTCCATCGTCCGCTTGTCCGATCGTCAACTATGGTTATTTTTTTTAAAACGGCGGTCCAGTTGCTGCTCGGATCCACCGGAGCCGCCACCGATGATCATCCATCGACAATCCGGTTGTGCAGCGGTGGATGCCAAGAGCAGCCATCCTCTGCACGTACACGGGATGTCATTGCCATGGATCAATGACTTCTTATGTAATCTGAGCTCTATCCGAGCAGAATCACCCTACATGGAACCCTCAATGTTTAGAATGTTATTGAATGAGTGTTCTGGAATGGCACTACGAGCATCCGAGCAGAGGATTTCCGGAGTTCTTTTTTTATTCATATAAATCTCTCATCTTAAGTTGAAATTCAGTAACTTCAATCATTACATCGACACGATGAGATTATAACTGGACCAGTGCATATTCATACATATATAGTTCGAAATTACGATTACGAAACGACGTGTGAATCTGTCTGCGATGAGCAGCCTCTACTGCAACAGGCCCAAGGCGACGCTACACTCCTGCAACAGGACCCAAGACCCTGGTATTTTCCATGGGGTCAGGGTCTGCTTGATGGACCCAATGCAGAATGGGATACACGCAGATCCCTCATTCCTGCGGAAGCAAAATATCCTCAAGGAAGACCCAACAACTGGTGAGGAGGAGGGTCCTGGAAGGCAGCGGGTGCAGTGATTGGTGGGCAGAAAGAGCGGAGGAAGAGGGGAACACTTCGTGTAAATTGTTTAGGGATATAACGATAGGTTTTTATCCCTTTGGTGTTATCTGCTCATTTCCTTGTGAGGTGTATTGTGTGTGTGAATTGTGATCGGCCTATCGAGATCGTTAATTAGTAAAACATTTTTTTACGTCACCAAATGACAAAAGTTGCGGGAAAATGTCGACTAGGTCAAGAAATTTGTCAGTGAGTTCATATCGAGACGCTCTGGTGTACATTTCACATGATGCTGCGTGCCTGAACTTGGACTCCGGAATAACAATCGTCTTCTGACAAAACCTTTGGCTCGACACAGGTTGTCATTCATGTTTCGAAAAAAAAAGTATCCAGTCTGCCAGCGATTTTGACAGTTTCGGTACTCGCAATCAATTTTCATTTTTTTAGGCTTTACATGATTAAATGATATCGTACCAAGTCTGCATGAGCATGCGCTCAGAAACAGAAATATCCGCACCTATGGAGGCTGAAACTCCCTCTAGTGGAGATCAATGAATGGAATTACACTGAATTTTAAATGACGCACTCGCTAACGAAATCCGTTCACGGCTCTCTGTCCGAGTGCGATGTCCTAGGGAAGCACTCAAGAGAGCTTGGGATACGATCCCGAGTCTTTGGCGAACAGAACCTGAGTAATGACTTGGGATGCCCGAGGAGACACAGAAAGGAACAGACAAGAGACAAAAGTAGAGCTATGTGGCATCTTGCATATCTCTGCGGACGCCCAAGATACGAAACTGGAGGGCGAAAAAAACTTATTTTCCAGAACTAAAAGGCGGATCCAGTAAGCCGTTAAGCATGGTCAGACGAGAGTGGGAGACTGATGCGTTCGGAATGAGACTCTCCAGTACTACATATGAAGAGGGACCTAAAACGGCCCAGAATACAGTGAGTGAAATGCGCATGAGATTTTTTTAGATGAGATGAAAAGGCAAGCTGAGGGCCAAACGTATCATGCAAGTCGCATCTCACAGCGGGCCGGATAAAATCATTAGGCGGACCGGATCTGGCCGTAGTTTGAGCACCCCAGGTCAAAATCTAAATCTTAGGCTAAATATTAGTCTAAGTCTAAATCTAAACCTTATCTACTCGAAAAGCAACCTAAGAGCAAAATATTTAGATTTAGACTAAGATATCGCCTAAGACTTAGATTTAAGTTTAGTAGAGGCGAGGAACTGGACCCAGGTCTCGACCTTCTCGCGCCCTGCCAACCTTCCTGCAATGCTTCCGTCGACGGCAGATGTACTCGAGGCATTTTGATGTCGCCTATGAATTTCGGTAGGTCAAACTTTTTTACGCACTTGCATCGCAGCAGCAAATTTGGAAACGTGTATTAGTCTTGCTATCAGGCGATATTCCATTAGACTTGCGCGGGAAGAATGGGAGGCTGAGACCTCTTAAAATTATTTTGTCCAATGTTCTATGCACGAGTCAGATTTTAATAATCAATGTGCATTACTTTCGTACCGCTCCTCGTATATAATAATTCCAGTGGTACGGGGGCCAGTGGAATGCCAGATCTGTACAAGGGCTGGTACTCTCTTCATTTTATAGATGCTGACGCATTATTTATCTCTTGATGCGATGAACTGACTCCAGTTTATTTATGTATTTTTCTGCAGAACAGTACCACATCTCAAGTACAGTGAAACAACTCATGGTATAGTCTGAAAATAATACTGATTCCAAATGCGCATTCACGAGTGCTTTTTGAATTAGGCCTCGGAATCATCGTAGTATTAGGACCGAAACATGAATCTATGAATCACAGCAGTAAAGAGCCAGTTCCCAAAGAATCTCTCACCTTTGCAGCTCACGCGTGAATTGGCGAACTTTCATCCCAGAGATCACTCACTCCACGGAGTTCAACCAGTAACAAAGGACTTTCTGAGATCATGAAATTCGCTGCTGCAAGAGCTGTTCCACCATCGTCAAATGGAATCCCGTCACACCTAGGGCAAAGTTAGAGGGAAACTAATGGGATGGAAGTAAGTGGATAGGGAAGGCGCTGGATATTTCATGAAGTTTCAAATAAAAATGGTTCTGAGCTAGTATGCAGAAAGTGCGAAAACAAACCAGGAAAGTGAGGTAGATCACTGTGTGAAACCAAGTCCTATTGGACTGGAATTTAAATGATGCCTTACGAGTGAATTGCTTAAACGGACCTATAAAATGACTCCGATCCACCGATGACGCGTGACACGTGATAGAGTGCGATCGACTTCCGGTCGTTTTAGTAATGTAACAACATCACTAAAACGACCGTGACAGTGTGCCACGTCGGTTTCATTCTTTTCAGCAGCCTCTCATTTCAATTCCTATATTGCTTCTTCTTTGTTGCAAGCATATCAGAACCTCTCAAGGACCAACTCTAATTCTGACTAAAGGCTGTAGCGATGCATCGGCAACCAACTGGTATTGGCCGCCGGTATGGCATTTTCTGTCCCCTCGATGGGTTTCCAAGATGCCCCGTTGCCGATGTCTAAAGAAGAACGTTCCGATCGTTCCGAACGAAAAAAATAAGGAAAAAAACGCATAAACTGGATTCGGTCAATGATTATTAACGGCAATGGGAAAATTTTCGGGTTGACCGTCCACATCCACACATGGATCGTCCTTAATCTTCGAATAGCAGAGGTTTTATCACCCGTCGCGAAGAAAATATTAAGAACGATAAAGGATGGTACTTCAATGAGATGCCTACTCAATGCTAAGCTGTTGCATGTTTCGCAACAAAAGAAAAGAAAACAACACATGATCATATTTCTGCGCACTGTTTGCGCAGAAATATGAAACCGGTCCACGAAAACAAGGATTTCACTTTTTTTTTGTTGCACTATTTCGACCGTACTTTCTTGCACGTTATTGCATCGCAGTTGTTGGATCAAATTTATGAACTTGAATGTGGACAATTTTTAAGAGGGAGATTCTGCTCGAAGATCCGGCTAATCGGGCGAGATTCCATTTCAGCATGACATTGCTGAAGATGGCAAATGTCTCCTCTTGAACCGGAGCACCAAGGAGCCGGAATGCAAAAAACCGAACTTGTGGCTGGTTCGACCTTCCCCTTTATTCCGTTTGGAACCTCTGCGTCTCGTACGATTTCCCCAGGGAGCACTGCGACACGA